GGGGAGAAGAGCACCAGAGTAAACGTGGAAGGTATATTCTACTTCCTGGGGAGAGGAGCAGCAGACTAAACGTGGAAGGTACCCTCTACTTCCTGGGGTAGAAGAGCACCAGAGTAAACTTGGAAGAGTGCCCAAAATCATATAACAGCATCATATTAAACGAAATAGAACAATTCTGTCACAAATGGAGGATCAAAATCAACACCCATAAAACACAGGTAATATTATTCACAAAATCAACTAAAAACCAGAAAGAAACCTCAACTATATCTAGATGAGACACACCTGGAAGTCGCCACATCTGCAAAATTCTTAGTATCAATTTACGATTCAAACCTAACGTGGATAAACATATTAAACAGTATCAAAAATTGGATCTGGCTTAAAGCGAGGTATCTTGTGAGTCTGGCAGGTAATAATCAAGGAGCTCCACCAGACACTACACTCAAAATATATCAAACATGCATTAGGCCAGTCATACAATACTCCTGTACGGCATGGTTAAACACTGCTAACACACAGATAGAAACATCTACAGAAAACACAAAACTATATACTCACAAAAGCATATAAAGTTTCCCGTGCAACAAATTTAACCTTCTACACACATACTCAAGCATCCCTCGGTTATCTGACAGACTCCTTGAAAACTCGCTCAAATACTGCAAGAAAAATATATACCAAACGACTTGATGAGCAAATTAGAGAAGTATATAATACATGATGGACAAAAGTGCCTCTCGCCATGACACAGCGGTATGTCTGCTAGAACAACGCTAGAAACCGGGTTTCGATACCCGTGATGGGCAGAGCACAGATAACCCATTGTGTAGCTTTGTGCTCAACTTCAAACAAACAAACCTATCGCCATTAAATAAAATAAATAACATCATTAAAACGACCACTTATTGCTAGGCATTACAGAATTTTCCCGATACATTTATAAATGTATTTTTAAAAAAGGGTTTATTTACGCGTACTAAAATAATGTATATTACATTATTACTGCAAGGACAATGAGAAATTTTGTTTACTGACGCTAAGAAAATAAATCTAGCATTGTGTAAGTATGGGAGGGATCACCGCAAAAATTCTATGTGGATTAAATAAAATCTTAGCAACGTGAACACAATATCATTAGCGCGGAGCCCGTGGAGACATCTTGCGGTGTAATCTCGACCAAATTCCAAAGCCAAGAAGCAGAAGTTTTAAACAATAAAACGTATCAAAAATCATCTTAAAAGAAAAACAAATTAAACATGAAATCTGAAACATCTGATACAACAATAAAACTAAAGAACAACTATTTACTGTCGGGGGGGGGGGGAGAAGAGGTTGAAGGTGTACATGACCCTCCCAGGTCCAACAAAATCGGATCTAAAAATCCAATACAACGAAGGATGACCATATACCGTAATAAATCATAACACTTTAGTGTACAGGGTGGTCATAAATTCCTTTAGTCACTTTCCATTGTCTGCTGTGTCCAACGCGGAGAATGGGACTCCGGATCTTAGCGTTGTAAGTCCATAGACTTATCACTGTCCCACTCGGGAACATTTGCAGTGTCACAGCTGGTAAACGGTACAACGTATGAAGATGAAAACTGGGAAATACCCTGATGAAAATATATTAATAAATACTGCTGAGATTGTAGCCATGAGCTGCATAATTAACCAAAACAGAAAAAGTAGGCAAAAGCAGAATGATATCACTTGGATGTTGGTTACAATATATATATTTTGTCTCGTTAGCTCAGCTGTAAGATTTTGAATGAGTGAAATTATTATTAGCAGCTGTTTACAGCATTTTAGTGGTAAAAGTCATCGGAATCTGGACAGCGGTAAGTTTATGGATTTACAGCGCTAAAACCAGGAGTTCGATTCTCCGCCGTGGAAACAGCAGATAACCCAACGTGTGTGTTTGCTCTAAAACAAACAAATTATATCATCAGTTTCGTGACAGATAAAATGCTAAACTAGTTAGAATGTCATCGCCATAAACACATGTATATATGGCATATATATTATTTTTATTTAGTATAAAGCTGCACAAGAGTGCTTATCTGTGCTGTGTCGGGCCGACAGTATGGCTCTTGTCTATCACTTCAAAATTAGGGACAGCTAGCGTAGGTAGCTCTTGAGTTACTTTGTGTGAAATTAAGCAGACAAGCAGACCCACAAGCAGCTAACACAATGACAATATTTTTTCAAATACCACTTTGTGTTCAAAATAAGCTGGAACATGAAATCAAGTTATTTCATTTCTAACTGTAGACTTCCAGTGGGCCAGCGGTAAGTTTCCGAACATACATTGCTACAATCTGGGGTTTGATTCCCTAAATGCAAATAGTCCATTGTGTAGCTTTGCGCTAAAACACAACAACAACAATTTTAATTGTAAGCTTCTTTTCGTTTTTCTGGTCTTTCATTGTATTGAAGTGCGAAATTTTTCAGTCTAGTTTTATGATAGTTCTAAACATTTAAGTTTCTTGCGTACTCTCGCTTTTATAAATACTTTCGGCCGTAAAACCAATAATATCCCCCGAAGTTCGGCCACCTAAGAGAGTTAGGTTAGTCCTAATCTTTATATTAAGCTAATAATTCTTGTTTATTTTGTATTTGAATACAAAACTACATAAGGGGCTATCTGCACTTTGCCTACCATGGATATCGAAACCCGGTTTTTATCATATAAGCCTTCAAATTTATCGCTTAGCCGACTTTAGCTTGCTACCTAATAACTAGATATGGGTATAAATAACACATGTAACTTTAGAAAGGATGTAAATATAAGAATAAAAAATATGTCTCCAGATAAGTATCTTCACTCTTTGAAACTTTGGGTTCTCTAGATAGAAATGTATCTTCACTCTTTGAAACTATGGGTTCTCTAGATAGAAACGTATCTTCACTCTTTGAAACTATGGGTTTTCTAGATAGAAATGTATCTTCACTCTTTGAAACTATGGGTTCTCTAGATAGAAACGTATCTTCACTCTTTGAAACTATGGGTTCTCTAGATAGAAACGTATCTTCACTCTTTGAAACTTTGGGTTTTCTAGATAGAAATGTATCTTCACTCTTTGAAACTATGGGTTCTCTAGATAGAAATGTATCTTCACTCTTTGAAACTATGGGTTCTCTAGATAGAAACGTATCTTCACTCTTTGAAACTATGGGTTCTCTAGATAGAAATGTATCTTCACTCTTTGAAACTATGGGTTCTCTAGATAGAAATGTATCTTCACTCTTTGAAACTATGGGTTCTCTAGATAGAAATGTATCTTCACTCTTTGAAACTATGGGTTCTCTAGATATAAACGTATCTTCACTCTTTGAAACTATGAGTTCTCTAGATAGAAACGTATCTTCACTCTTTGAAACTATGGGTTCTCTAGATAGAAACGTATCTTCACTCTTTGAAACTACGGGTTCTATAGATAGAAATGTATCTTCACTCTTTGAAACTATGGGTTCTCTAGATAGAAATGTATCTTCACTCTTTGAAACTATGGGTTCTCTAGATATAAACGTATCTTCACTCTTTGAAACTATGAGTTCTCTAGATAGAAACGTATCTTCACTCTTTGAAACTATTGGTTCTCTAGATAGAAACTTTTACGAAAAAAAGAAAAAGAAAGAAATTAGTTGAAGACTCTGAATAATTTCAGGCTATTAGGCTTAGCTTTGATAAAAAAAATATCTAAACTTCTAACCCATTGCTATCGTTCTATCTAAATTTGTTTGTATTTGATTAAAAATGTGAGGAAGGATATAATAATCTCTGATAATTCGTTGAAGTACAATGTAAGTTCTCTAGCAGATATGAAGCCTTTTATAGGGTAGAGAAAATACATTTCAACGGAATGTGGTTGTTTTTTATAGCTACGAAAAAGATGAAGTGTTTGGAGGCGTGCATAAGACAGTTTGATATTACTTCTTATGGTGGTTCATGGAGTAATTTGACTTATTATGTCGTCACACAAGATGTAAAACAACTATACAGTTTACCTGGAGGTTTTCCTCCTGAGCAATCCTTGAAATACTACTTCTTATCGACTTGTAAGGCTGATCTTAGCACCTGCACCAGGAAAACCAAGATTTCTAGAAGTTATTCTACTCGGTATTCACCTGCTGCATTCCCAGCTTTGAGAAAAACACTAGTGACATCTACCGGCTGATTTCATATACATGTCAGAGCGGGATGGGATAGATCACAGACTGTCAGAAGCTCGCGTGCGGAAGAGCCGCAATATTTTTTTAACTTCTTCTAGTTAGTTGTCTCCGCTTGCAAGGAACAAGATCTGTATTCAGCTCGGACATGTGGAGTTACGAGGACAGCTCTCATAAAACGCCAATGATCCTATTTAGCTGTTAACCCTCGGTAAACTGAAACACCTCGGTGTTGGAGCACTAAGTTAGCTAAGATATTTTGTAAATCACAGATTAAGACTCAGATTAGTCATGAAGTACGGGACAAGCAGGAGACACTGGAGGTGGTTACTAGTCTGTCTGACACTGTCACTGATGAAAAGTAAGTCTTATTTATATATCAAGAATCCCAAGAGTTCATAGGATTTTTTGTTTGTTTGTTGTTAAGCCCAAAAACAACATAACTGTCTATCTGTGTTGTGCACACCACTGGTATAGGAGGTATTTATAGTTATAATATTTTGTTATTCGCTAGTTACTTGTAGCGATATCGACTTAATTGTATCCAAAAGCTCTTGAAATAAACTTGCTCTATCGGTTACAGGGTTCTAAAATGCTGAAAAAATGTCAGTATAAAGCGGCAATCCTAGAACAATCAGCATGTATTCTGCTGTCAAACATTAAAAGGAGTGTCACGAATATATCACACGTAAATAAATAGCTCGTTCTGCCAGACACATTTCATTGTGCTCATTACACATAAAAATACATTTTAAAAATAGTTTCGAATAGTATGAAACATAATAAGTTCTAAATATTTCATTGGAAACTATATCGAGTTGATACAAGCCATATTTTCGCACTGCACTAAATTATCGAAAAAATAACCGTAGCCTAATGTTTTAAGAAACAGTAAAATTAGAGCTGAGCATGTCTATTGATATGGGTTTTTTTTTCTTTATAGATTTGGGCTGGGCTGGGCTTAGTGGTCGGGATGTGGACTGAAAGGTCCAGGGTTCGAAAAGTGATCCCCTGACTACACTCCGCACTTTGAGCTGTTGGAGCGTTATAAAAGTGACAGTCAATCGAATTGTTCGGTTTAAAGAGCTTGCCAAAACCTTTATAGCGACAGATGCTGCTACTTGATTGCATATGTGATAGTTCAAAATTAGGGACGAATATAGCTAAACCTTATGGGATCTCTAAAGTGACTGTTTATCCCACGTGCCCCTAAGGTGCTATTCAGGTTAAAAACTCCAGTTCATTTATGTATTTCTTGCTTTTGTTTTCCTAAAGTTTATAATGAGAATATTTGACTAATCTCTGTTGTAAGTTTTACCTATCTGTCTGTAATCGTGAGCAAACAACAGTTACTTTTTTAATGTGAAATATTTTTCGGTATACTTTTATAAAACAAAGAGACGTTTTTGATATAATCACAACAATATCTTTATGTCAGCTATTTCGATAAGTTGTTTCTAAACATTACACTTATTAATATCATCTAGCATATTACACTTATTAATACACTTGTGTATCACCTAGCATATTACACTTTTTAATACACTTACGTATCATCTAGAATATTACACTTTTTAATTACTATTTATATATCATCTAGCATATTACACTTTTTAATACACTTACGTATCATCTAGAATATTACACTTTTTAATACATTTATATATCATCTAGCATATTACACTTTTTAATACACTTACGTATCATCTAGCATATTACACTTTTTAATACATTTATATATCATCTAGCATATTATACTTTTTA